CCGGCCCCGCCGAGCGGCCTCGGCCCTTGGCACTACCCCCCCCTTCCCACCCCGCCCCAGCGCCGCCGGTTCGCCGGGGCTCAGCCCCCGCCCGGCCCTGACGCTTCCCCGGGACGGCGGCAGGCTCGGAGCGCGCTGGGGCCGGCCCTGGACAAAGCCACCGGGACCCTGTTGTACAACGCGGCCGCCCGCCTCAGGGACCCGAAGCACCTCGGCTTCCTCGTCGGTTACATCGTCCGCAGGGAGATCCTCACCGACCTGCAGCTCAGCGGTACCGCGCGGCACCGGGATCCGCCCCCCCACCGGCCCCGGCGGGGAGGGGAGGGCCCCGCTCCTCATCCCCCCCCACCCCGCTCTGTCCCCAGCCGCCCTAGAGTACGTGAGGAGCCACCCCCTGGAGCCCCTGGACGTGGCGGACTTCGAGCGGGCCTGCGGCGTGGGGGTGTGCGTCACCCCCGAGCAGATCGAGGAGGCGGTGAGTGGGGCCTCGGCCCTGCCAGCCCTCCCGGGAACGGCGTGGGGGACGCTGGACGGGATGGGCTGGCAGCCCCTGGCGTCATGCTTCCCCGCTTGCCTCGCTTACCCCCGTGTTCCTGTCCGGCTGCCCAGGTGGAGGCCGTGATCGGCGAGCACCGAGCAGAGCTGCTGGCGGAGCGCTACCACTTCAACATGGGGCTGCTGATGGGTGAGTGTGGGGCACGGGGGCAGCCCCTGCCCGGTACCCCTCCTCCCCTGCGTCCTGAGAGCCAGCCCTTTGTCGTGGGCTGCCCCGGCCCCAACTCCTCTGGCCCGCTGGCTGCGGCGTCCTGCCTCAGCGGCCCTGGCTGAAGCCCCCCCCCCCGGGGCTGAGCCGTGCCCCCCGCCCATGGGGTGCCCTGTCCGCAGGGGAGGCGCGGAGCCGGCTGCGGTGGGCGGACGGGAAGACCATCAAGAACGAGGTGGACCTGCAGGTGGGTGCGAGGGCAGGGGGTTGGGTGCTGCTTGGGGTTCTGTCCCCTGTTGGGTCCGTGTGGGACCTGCTGGCCTGTCCCGTGGGAGGGTCCGGTGCCGGGGACTGCCTGCCCTGGGTAGGTGTAGGCAGGGTGAGGGGGGTGACAGCTGGACAGGGCCACCAGGAGCCTTTCCTACTCCTGTCTGTGTCTCTCTTCTCCAGGTGCTGCATTTGCTGGGGCCAAAGACAGAAGCTGACCTGGAAAAGAAGCCAAAGGTGAGGAGAAGGGGGAGGCTGGGAACTGGGATGGTATTTTCCTGCTGAGTGTCCAGGCAGGATCCCAAATAGCTGCTCTGGGCCCAGCTGCCACCATGGGCATGGGTCTGAGGGAGTGCTGGGGGCAGCGGGCTGGGCCAGGAGGGGAGGTGTGTGCTAGGGCTGGGCACTCAGGATGCTGGGCTGGTCCCTGCAGGCTGCAAAGACCCGGCTGGCCCCAGTGGAGAAGCAGAAGGCAGCTGTGGTGGAGAATGGTAAGAAACTGTACTCCTGCGGGCAGCTTCCCCAGCCCTTTGATTCCTGGCTGGGACCTGCGTCCAAGCTGGGCCCTGGGAGCTGCAGTCAGGCCCCTGCTCAGCACCATCTCTCCCTGCAGGTGAGGTGGGCACGGAGACACGGTCACTCCTGGAGCAGCTGCGGGGAGAAGCCCTGAAGTTCCACAAGCCCGGTGAGTGTGAAGAGCCACTGCCGCATGCGCAGCCGCTCCACTGGCTCTGTGCCCCGGCCTCAGCTCTCCAGGGGGGGACCAGCCTGGCGCCATGTCCTTCCCCGCTGGCTGCTGGGCTTGGCTTGGTTTGAGCGATGCTGTAGCCCTGAGCATCCTCTGCCTGCAGGAGAGAACTACAAGACGGAGGGCTATGTGGTGACGCCCAACACCATGGCTCTGCTGAAGCAGCACCTGGCAATCACGGGTGGGCAGGTGAGGCCGTGTCCCCCAGCCCAGCAGTTCCCTGCAAGGGCAGCACTGCTGTGCCAGGCTCCAGCCAGCTAGGTGGGGTGGCTGGGGGGACACGCAGCTCACTGGGGGCACAGCCAGAGGCAGCACCCATGTGGCACGGGGGGCTCTGTGGGTTCGTTGGGGGCTCATGTCAGTGCCCCTGCTGTCAAGGAGGGGGAGAGTCTCCTGCCAAAGGACAGAGGTGTCCCCTTCCCCTCCCTGCAGGTGCGGACACGGTTCCCTCCTGAGCCCAATGGGATCCTGCACATCGGCCACGCCAAGGCCATCAACTTTAACTTTGGCTATGCCAAGGTGAGAAGCACCAAGCCCCGCTGGCAGCTCTCCCCCCACTGCTTGGCCGCTGGCCTGGGCCTGTGGTCCCTCAGGGAGCGGCTGCTCACTGTCCCCCCGTCCCCAGGCCAACGGTGGCGTGTGCTTCCTGCGCTACGACGACACCAACCCTGAGAAGGAGGAGGAGAAGTACTTCACAGCCATCCGGGAGATGGTGGAGTGGCTGGGTACAGCTGGAGCTGGGGAGGGCAGGATCAGGCTGGGTGCTGCTGGGGATGTCCCTGCATGCAGGTCCTGTTGCTGGACCCTGGGGGTGCCTCCAACCTGCTCTGTTTCCCCCATCCCCACAGGCTACCAGCCCTATGCAGTGACCCACGCATCAGATTACTTTGACCAGCTCTACACCTGGGCCCTGGAGCTCATCCGAAGGTGAGCGTGCCGGGGCGGTGTGGATGTTCTGTGCTGCGGCTGGGGCTCCCCCTCACCCAGGGGATGGGCCACTCACATCTGGTGATGGCATTTCCCCTCCGTAGGGGCCAGGCATATGTCTGCCATCAGAAGGTCGAGGAGATCAAGGGCCACAACCCACCGCCCTCGCCGTGGCGGGACCGGCCCGTGGAAGAGTCCCTCCTGCTCTTTGAGGTATTTCTGGCTGAGGGCAGGTGCTGTGTGCCCATGGGGTCTGGGTCCATGACTCAGCTGACAGCTTCCCCCTGCACCGCAGGACATGCGAAAGGGCAAGTTTGGGGAGGGGGAGGCGACGCTGCGGATGAAGCTGGTGATGGAGGACGGAAAGATGGACCCCGTCGCCTACCGTGTCAAGTTCACTCCGCACCATCGCACCGGGGACAAGTGGTAGGGAGGGCCTGCGGCATCCTGGCATGTGTGGCGGGGGTCGGCCTGCATCTCCTGGGAGTGGGGAGGTGTCGGGAGGGGAGCAGCACCGGGCTCTGCCCCGGGGCTGACTGTGTCTGCCTTGCAGGTGCATCTACCCCACGTATGACTACACACACTGCCTCTGCGACTCCATCGAGCACATCACTCACTCCCTCTGCACCAAGGAGTTCCAGGCCAGGTGAGTGCTGTGCACAGCCTGGCTCAGGGCTGAGCTGGAGCTGGCAGGGCAGCTCTGTGGGGGAGCAGCTGGCCATGTCCCAGTGGCTGCTGAAGTGCTGAGGGACGGTGTGTCCGTGGGGCTGTGGGCGGGCGTGAGGCTGAGCCGGGCTGTGCCTCTGCCCGTCTTGCAGGCGCTCCTCCTACTTCTGGCTGTGTAACGCGCTGGATGTCTACTGCCCTGTGCAGTGGGAGTATGGGCGCCTGAACCTGCTCTACACCGTCGTCTCCAAGAGGAAGATCATCCGTCTGGTGGAGACAGGTGCCGTGAGGTAGGAGCAGGGCCAGCAGCCAGGGTGAGTCTTGCCCGGGGCACGCCTGGCTGTCACACTGGTATTTTCTCAGGGACTGGGATGACCCGCGGCTCTTCACGCTGACAGCCCTGCGCCGGCGAGGCTTCCCTCCCGAGGCCATCAACAACTTCTGTGCCCGGGTAGGTGCCAGGGACAGGATGGGATGGGGCAGGTGGATGTGTCTCCCAGCCAGCATGGTGATGGCAGGCTGTCCCGTAGGTCGGTGTGACAGTGGCCCAGGCAACGATGGAGCCACATCTGCTGGAGGCATGTGCGCGGGAGGTGCTGAATGAGCAGGCCCCCCGGGCCATGGCCGTCCTGGAGCCCCTCAAGGTCACCATCACCAACTTCCCTGCCCCGAAGGTGAGACTGCTGCGGGCTGGGGTGGGAGTGGGGTTCCCCAAGGTCAGCATTCACCCCCTCCTTCTCCCCAGGCACTCGAGGTCCTTGTGCCCAACTTTCCAGCTGATGAGAGCCGGGGTTTTCACAAAGTGCCCTTCCAGACCACCATCTACATTGAGGAGACAGATTTCAGGGAGGTGAGCTGGCCCCACCAGGCCATACTGCCCTTGCTCCCAGGAGCTGCGGCTCGGGCAGTGGGAGCCTGGCAGTGCTGGCAGTGGTGCTGGTGCTGCATGGGGCACAGGCGGGTGTCAGGCAGTCGACTGCGACTCCTAAACATGCCAGCAGCTCTGACTGGCACTGGGGAAATGCCTGCTGCCCTCAGCCTGGCTGGGACGTGCCCAACTGACAGTGCTCACGCTTGGCCTGTGCGCTGGGGAATGTCCAGCAGCAACATGGGACTTTGAACAGCCCTGGGCACCCTGATCCCTGGGATGGAAGGAGTGGGTGCAGGGACGCAGTTGTGGGGACAAACAGACATGCTTGAGGGGGGAGCCACTGCCTGTGTTGGGACCCCTCATGCAGCCATGAACTCTCTCACAGGAGGTGGACAAGGGCTACAAGCGCCTGGCCCCTGGGCAGCCAGTGGGGCTGCGCCACGCTGGCTATGTCATCGCTATACAGAACGTCATCAAGGTGGGTGGCTCTGGGCACTGGGGACATGAGGTTGGGCCATGGGATGTCAGGATATGGCCATGCCTCACCAGGGAAGGGCAGCAATAGTCATCTCGGGCTGGGCGCTGTGGGCACAGTGTGGGTGCAGGCTGCCTGCATGGCAGCTCCTTGCCAGCCCTATGCCTCACGTGGTGGGGAGCAGGGTTGCCCTGAGCTGGGGGGTTGGTGCTTTGGCCTCAAGGCTGCCCTGTGGGGTAGGAGTGCTGCCTGACTGCTGCCTGGCGTCTCGTCTTGTCTCCTCTTGCGCAGGACACCAGTGGGCGCGTGATAGAGCTGGAGGTGACCTGCACCAAGTCAGACATGGCGGAGAAGCCCAAAGCCTTCATCCACTGGGTGTCGGAGCCGCTGGTGTGTGAAGTGCGGCTCTACGAGCGACTGTGAGTACCCGGCCACCTGCAGAGGCGCGGGCGCAACCTCACCGGTGCTGGAGCGGCAGTGTGGCTGTGTACCAGCAGGTTGCGCTGGGGTCTGCCTGGCTCCTTGGTGGGGAAGATGCTGCTGTGGGGTCCTGCGAGCTGCTGCCCCACAGCTGCCATGGGGCACCACATCCCCTGCCTGGTGGCTTTGGGATGAGACTGTCTCATGGCAGGTTTTTGCACAAAAATCCCGAGGACCCATCAGAGGTGCCTGGAGGCTTTCTGAGTGACCTCAACCCTGTGAGTAGCAGCAGGAGCCAGGGTTATGGGCCTGGGGGGATCTGGGGACCTCCTGCACCCACCTCTATGCGACCCCTACCCCTCCCTGGGCAGAGCCCTGTCATGGCCCAGGAGGCAGAGGGGCTGGGGGGAGCTGGGCTGTGGAGGGGAGTGGGGGTGCCGGCTGAGCTGACTCCCCCTGCCAGGACTCCCTGCGTGTGGTCCGCAACGCCCTGGTCGACAGCTCTGTCCTCTCCGCCCGGCCCTTTGACAAATTCCAGTTTGAGCGGCTGGGCTACTTCTCCGTGGATCCCGATAGCGAGGAGGGGAAGGTGAGCCCTGGGGAGGGGGCTGTGGGGCTCCCCCTGCCCACTGTGGGGCCATGGGGCTCAGCGCTGACCCTCTGCCTCTCCCCAGATGGTGTTCAACCGGACAGTGACGCTGAAGGAGGACCCCGGCAAGGCCTGAGGGACCTGCTGCCGCCACCCCACCATGGTGCCGCTTCCCCAGGGGACCCCGCGCACCCCCAGCGCCGCCGTGCCTTGGCGCAACCCCCCCCGGGGTGCCCTGCAGCATCACCTCAATAAACACAGCATCTCAGCCCTGTCCCTGCGCTGTCACTATCTTCCCCCACTCAACCTTGGGGTGCTGGGGTGGGGGTAGGGGGGGTCTCCCTTGTTCCTGGGTGCTCAGGGGTCTGCTCCTGTCCCCTGTGCAGGGCTGGTGCCCCTGCGGGAGCTGCAGGGCTCCCTCCCCACCCGGGACCATGAGGCTGGGCTGGGGTTGAGGGTGTTGGGGTAGGATGGAGGAGGGTCCCCAGAACCTGCCAGGGCCACGGAGGGTGCAGGCAGGGTGCAGGCAGGCAGGACGGTGTGCGCACTGTATACAAACGCCGCCTGAGCGCCGTCCCTCCTTAAGGTGGACTCGAGTGGGGTGGCCCAGCCCGGGGCCGGGTAGGGAGGTCGGAGAGGTGCCCCCGCGGGACCGGCGTGGCCCCCGTGCTCTGAGCCCCGTGCCCGCGGCCCCGGCCCTGCCGTGGGTGGGGGGGAGGCTCTGCGCGGCCCCACGGGCCACCTTAAGCGGCAGCGGGGCCGGGGAGGCCGCGCCGAGCACATGGACACGTTAAAGCAGCCCCGGCTCGGCCCCACGGTGCGGGGGCACCCTTCGCCCCGCGGTCCCGCGCGGGGGCAGGGGCAGGGCGCAGCCCCCGCCGGTACCGGCCGCGGAGGTCCCAGGGCCCTTCGCGG